GCTACTGCAATCAAAATACCTTTTGCCAAACTTGAACCAAATAGATCGCAATTGCACCACAGGGGACAATTATCTGACAACAGCTCACCTGTTTGCCAAACAACAGACGAACACTCGGGTGAGTACAGATGTACAATGCCCAGCTTAGTATCATGTCTAATTATAAGCTTTGCCAAATGTTGGGGTGTTGTTTCAACTGGAAGAACTCAATTACTTTACAAATTTTGTTGAATCTTTCTCCCATATATAAATATCATTCGAGAAAAGCTTGCATTCTGTTCACCAGTCTTCAGATGTTTAAATGGAGGTATATAAAACATTTTTCTCTAACACATTTTGTCACAAATGTCACATTATGAAATAACTCCTGTACGAATAGGCCTACATGTATATTTTGCACTGACCACCTGTTTCACCAAAGGGGAATTTAAAGCATTAGTCCCCTTTGTGTCATTTTTAATGCAGGTGAAGAGGACAGTGACGGCGTGCGATCGCCTCATGAAGTTGACGGTGAAGTACAAAATGTTCCCAAATCTACCAACTCAACGAGAATGCAGGGAATCCATCTCATTTTTGTTAACGACGATTTTGGTGACACAGGCCTGTCCAAGAGAAAAGGATCAGAGATTGACACAGGTCTGCAAAGTTTGTTTTCAAAAATGTATTGAATTGACTCATATGTGAAAATACCATTATAAATATGACCGAAACATTACATTTTATTGCTAAATATGTAATTAATTAGCTTAGATTAAGGCTGCATTATTATGACGTACCATGCAATATGCTTGACAGGTTATATTTTCTTGCAGAATTGCTGAAAAAGCTGTTTGATTCCCTTGGCTTCAAGGTTGTTATCTACCAAAATTTAAATCATGAACAGACGATGAATGCTCTCAAAGAGGCTGCAGATAACAACTATAATGTCTATATGTTTTTTTTTTTTTTTTTTGCACCATATCATCCCACGGCAAATACTGTGGAATTTTCACTACTGATGGTCGACTGATTCAATTGAGTGAGTTTTACGCCAACTTTCAATCCCAGAGCTGTCCAACTTTACAAGGCACACCGAAAGTGTTCATTATCCAATCCTGTCTAGGATCAAAGGATCTATTACGTAAGTTAAAGGTTTTCCAGCATTAAGTGCATGTGAGAAAAAACGAAAGACCGTTTTCATTAATGTTTATCATTAATTAACAAAGTTACCATTTTATCTTGCCACGAAGAGAATAATAAATGAAAAAAAGTCTTGAACGCTTTTAAAAGTTTAACACGTTGCTCAATCAGCTGCTTTTTAGTTTATTAAATGTAAAGGTAACGCTTTTGACAACAAAATTGGTAAATCAGTACTTTTATAACTTTTCTGTAATGTTCTGAAAAAAAAAACTAAATGTGCGATTATATCTGTAAAAAAGTTATTGGCACAGCATAATTTGCAAATGAATCGGTCATCCATTTATAAATATAATTATATTTACAGTTGATAACGTAAATGTAAAATAATGTTTAAAGTCATTGCAAATGTATATCAGAACTTTATGAAGCTGTTACTTTACTACAGCTGCAGCCACAGATGCGTCTGAGACCCACGAGCCGATCAGCGCATCTAACCACGGGGTGCATGTACCAAGTGAAAGGGACTTCTATATCATGTATGCAACATTGCCCGGCCACGTCGCTTACAGACTGGAAGACGGTTCTCCTTTCATACGTGCCTTGCTAGAGTGCATCGAGAGGTACAGCGAGGGTCCTGTCAAGCGTTCTTTACAACAAATTAGGGAAGAGATTAATGCTGAACTCAGTAGAGGTTTTGATGTCCCAACTTCAACTGATGATTGTGGAAGTACAGCCAGGCAGCAGTCGTGCTGGGATGTGAATACTTTAAGATTTCCCATCTTTTTGAGAAAATAGATACTTCATATTGTGCATAAAAAGTATTGTGCTTTTCGCCAGAAAAATTTTGAAAGTGGTGCAGAGGTGCTTTCCCCCTTCCATTTTCTTATACATTATCCCTCCCCCATATGCGCTGTCCGCGCAGAGGCCTAGCAATTTAAGATAGAGCTGCGATTGATTCGCAGATCTGTCAGTCCGCAAATAAACTTATTCTGAGTGCTCTGAAAAATATTTTTGACAGAATTGCTTGGCAGAATTGACGTTACTTTCTAGTCCTTGGATGCAAGGATCTGTGTTTAGTTTACCGTTAACCACTGCCATCTCGCCTACACCACAGTAGTCAATACACCCCTTGCTAAGTGGGGTTCCTTATTAAATAGGTACACTGTACTATTTGTCGTTAAGCGTTTATTGATCCAACTTGACAATGATCGCTATCTGAAACAGAAGAGTAAATTACATAAGTCTACATAAATGATAATCCTATACTTATGTCGACAAGACACAGAAAATTGCGAACTTACTTCTTACCAGCCGTTTAACCAAACTCTTGCGAGTCCATTAATGCTGACTGTGCTTAATCTCATTTCACCTGAGAACAGTATATTTATCAATGCCCAGTTATTGCAATGGCTGTTGTCCATGCCAGAGTTCCGGTATACCATCTGATTTGACGTAGACGGGTCCTGGCAGTGATCACTGTTTTCCTAAAAAAAAAAGCCCTTTCAAAATAACGGCGATTGTGCAGACATCTTCTGATGGTAAACTTGGAAACATGATTTGCCCTGCTGTTAAGTTGCAGTCAAGAATCTAAATATCATGAAACGTTTTCTGCGAGAAAGGCTTATTAACATTCTCTCTTCTTTGGGTGTTGTTTCCTTCAGTCGACGTTAATTTTGTCCATGAATCTACATGTATTTGGTTATAATGTTGATGAATTGTTTTAATGAAAAAAAAAAAAGAACAATTGTCTGGCAATTCAGCGGTCAAAGCTCTCATGTCAATCACCCAGTAAAAAATCTTTCCCTTAAGAGCCGAATGAAAAAAGAATAATAATAAGTGTTGGAGTATTTTGAATTATTTTGAATTGTACTTTGTTTATAGACTATAAGATATATGGCATTTCTCAAATCAAGAGGTCTGTATCGCCAAAAGTTTGCTCTGTTCCTTCTTATCTTGACCTACATTGGTGCATTTGGTTAGATAGAAAACGTTTGCTTATTGAAGATGCCCTGCGTGTCAGGGCACAGTAAAGCTAGCTTGTTAACTATTCGCACCTTTTCATGGGATAGTTTTGCTGATATGGGTTACATATGAAATCAAGATTAAGCTGGCAAAACTGAAATCTAGAACCCAGGGTAACTGAAGACAAACACACAGAGCAAATTCAGCTTACATGCCAGGGGCTGATGCAGGATTATTTGAAGGGGTCCCCCTCCCTTGGCTTGAGGTTTGGTACCTGTTAAAGGTCCCCTAAAATTTTTTGGGGATTTCAGAGGGCGAACGATGCAATTTGGTAGAACTGCTAGTCAAAATTCTAAATTCAAGAGGGGACCATTAGTGTGATATTTTTTCAGAAATCCGCGACTGCAAGCATGGTATGCTGTTTTGCAGTATGTCTATTTTATTGATATTATTGGTTTTGTAGTGAAATATTATATATTTATGTACACTGTAAAACTATATTGTTTCCTACATTAAGACATGCATATATATATGTTCTACATTTGTGCACTTTGGATATTCTTGGATAGTAATGTAATGCTAAACTGCAGAGACTTGTATTTTTTGGGTAACTTTTATATATTATTCAATATTGAATGAGATACACTTTTTATTGTACATGTAGTTTAAATTAATAAAAAGCAGGAGATTTGCATATACATTGCTTCGGATCTTCCCTATCTAGACCTTTATCCTAGGTGGTTAGTCCAGAACTTTAGCAAAGAAATTAAACACAGTCTTGTGTATTAAAGACAATCATATAGAGTGAATTCAGCATGTAGAGAATAAAAATAATATGCATGTGTACGTGTATACATGCATATAGTTTATTCTTTACCCTTAAAGTCAGCTGAGTGGTGGCATTAAATCTATGCAAATATATTATAGAGAAAAAAGGATTGTCCATGCAGGGACATATCTTTGAATATCGGTTACAATAATTTGTGGCCCTGGCATAGGGTAATTATATTACAATAGAATGGCTGTACTCAATTCGGTCCCTTTATTTATAGAAAACTATTGAATTCATTCTTATCACCTCTGTTGACAGTTCCCTGGTGTCACGATATGTGATATCAGTTGCCAACTGAAACGCACCTTGCTTCCACTGTTTGTCTGTTAGATGAGTCAGCTTTCCAGATAATATGACACATAAATTTTTTGAGGGTAAATATTGTACAGAATGGCTATACTCAATCCCATCCCATTATTTATTTTAAACTGTTTATTTTAATTAATTTATTTATTATTATTAAGTTATCCTCGAGATGGGGTACTAACGGGTAAGCTCTTCTTGTTGACAATGTTTGGAACTGCGAGGATATGTGTTGACTATTCATCAAAACCATTTATTTATTTATTTATTTATTTATTTATTTATTTTTATTTATTTATTTTTTTTTGTTTTGGGAGATAGAGATCACATTCTTTACACAATTAGACCTATACCTCACAAGTCAATTTTAAACTTGAGCAAAGTGGGCAAATTATTTTTAACTAAGAAAAGGAACTATAAAACACAAAAGACCCTTTTTCCCAATATTGTTTCAAAATATTTACCAATCATTAATCTTCACTTTTTAATGTTGGACAAATATGACATATTAATCAGCATCAGTAGTTGGTATACAGTGGACACTCAGTTAAACCTCTTGCTTCCATCATGCACTAGTATACAATGGGCTAAGAATAGGAAAAAATCTATGTACAGAAGGATAAATGCTAGTCCATACATGTACAAAGTGTAAAAACACAATGAACACAGACCCTTTTGATTACAGGACAACCAAGACTCCTTTACATATGTACAATTGCTTCCAAACTGTGCTTACATTTTAAAAATGTGTTCACAACATGGAAATTTGGGGTCATTGTCTACTGGACACTAGTTGACATGAATAGTGCCTTATTCTTTTCAAAAATAACCTATCAAGGAACAAATACCTGTGCTGTTGCCATTTCTCTCTTTTCAAATTATAATGTCTCTGGCTTCAGTGAATGTTCACTTTGTAACTAGACAAACTCTCCAGGCTGATAATTTAAAAAAAAACATGCATTAAATTTGTTCTCTTTATTGGTCACTTAAAAGTTTGTCATCATACTGATGCCATGTGTCATGCCATTTGGAATGTCCTGCTCTTAAGTGTCCCCTTCTTGGAGTCATACTTGGCCAGAGGACCGCCAGTCAGTTCCACAGGGGTGCTGTCAATCATGATCTGACGTCCACTGAAGGCTGTAGTATTCAAGTTAGCCAGGTCCAGCTCGTGGAATGTCTCACTGTTAAATAAAAATGGGGGGATATAAAAATTGGTCATTATAAGATGCCAATGACACATGAAATTTAAATGTATTTTTTTCATTTATATAAATAACTATTTATCCAATAATTATTTACTTTCTAGTAGAATAATAATCATAAATCTCATGAGCTTTTACAAAATTTCATAAACTTCATAATTGATCAACTACAATAAAAGTAAATCAGTCATCTTTTTTTCTCTCTTATTCGAAATATTACGTAATCTATTCGCATCACCTCCTTAAAAAATTATAAAGTAGCACAATAAATTTGTCTTATCACTGACTTCATTATATAACTAAGTACAAGGCATGCTCTAACTGAAGATAGTAATGTACGTTGTACTTACGCATCCTGGTATCTGTTCTGCACACGTGAGGCATCCACTGACAGCTCTTGTCTCTCCCTGGCCGCCTGAAATGATCAAAAACACTTCAATGACACACACATATTTTTCTCCAGATAACTATATCAGAAAAATATATCAGAACACAGACGAGAAGAGGAGATTCATATGTACATAACTATCAGTTTAACTACTATTTTAAGAAAGGAAATGTTTTAAGTTGCTGTACCTTTTAACAAAAAAGAGTATATTTATTCAATCTGCCAACATTAAACTGCTCTTAATGCATACACCTTTTTTCAAACATGTTCTTAACAATAGAATCACAATGTCTGAGAACAAAGGGAGTAAGTGCTAAAAGTGTGTTGAATGTACAAATTAAATGTGTAGAGTTGCCATCCCTGCAGACTGTCAAAGCATTTCTTTTTTTAGAAGTTGATTGTTGAATTCAATAAAATGCCTCAAGCATCGCAAGTTTAAAACAAAAGCATCTGTCTTACGGTCTTACCTTTAGCAGAGAATAATTGGAAGTCCTTGCCACAAAGTCAGCAAAGTCATTAATAGCCTTCTCCTTCTGTCTGTGATTTTCACGAATCTGAGAGAAAAAAAAATAATAATGATGTCAGCAGTTTCAAAGATACTTATAAATAAACCATCAAATTATGCAATGGCAGGCAAAACCTTTTCTCACAATACCCACTAAAATAATGCAGCCACACCTTGAATAATAATCTTCTCTCTCTCTTTGCCTCTTCTCTATCACAGTCCATTGTATCACAACCCACTTCCACCCAATATAATGGTCTTCTCAACTTAAACAATTAATTCTTGCACAATCCCCTTCCCCAACACAATTACATAACAGGATCTCAACCAGCTCAAATGCATTTTCCTCTAAGGCAATTATATCACAACCTGCACAAAAATATTCTCCTCTAACACAATCAAGTCTCATCCAACACAATAGCTTTCTCCTCTAACACAATGCTTTACCTCAGCATAATGCTCCTGTTCCTCCATAAGACTCTGATGTTGCTGTGACAGCAGCATGTCCTTCTGAGTGCCAACCACACTGTCCGCACGATCCACTATGGCCCGAGAGATGGTCTCAATGGCCTCCTGGTCAGGGGTCACTGGACGAATGCCCTCTGCGTCTAGCTCTGTGATTACCTCTGACCATACCTCACCAAGCTGGATAAGATACAAAATACAACCCAGTCAATTTTGCAGTACATCCCATTGCAATATCCCAATCAATTTGGCCAGATGAATTTTCAATATTATATTAATATATACAGTAGCTGTAAGATTTAAACTTTCTTTTTGACACAATAAATTTCTTGAACCCTACAAGATCTTGGGCTGATGTGCCCTATTACATGGCAAAATTTTTTTGAAGCATGCAAATTACTGCACACTTTCTTGCAGGGTCCAGATTTTTATAGTAAAAGGCATAACACCAATTATGTTCAACAGTCTTCAATTCTTCATATCCCAAGGTATTCATTTAAGCCTTGCAGGCTTCACTTATGCCCTACAGTGTTCATTTATACCCTACCTTGAAGTCCATGTACTTCTCAATGATAGCCAAGGTGACATAGTCTTCTACTGTCAGCCCAGGCAGGTGCATGAAGCCAATCTTACAGAACAACGCATACAGTTTGGCACGCATGTTCTCTGACACGTCCACAATGGCCTGGCTTGGACAGCTGGCTGGGAGGGGAATGACCCCTTGGTTGGCCTGAAGCTGACCAGTGAGGGGCAGACTGGTGTCTGGAATGTTGTTTATAAAATATTAAGCTAAGTACAAAATAGACCGTGATTTCCATACAGCTGACTGCCCCATCAAATTATGCATATTACTATCTTTACATATCTTTTGACAAATTTATCAATTTACTTTAAAAAATTACCTTAAAAAATTTCATTATCTTCCTATTTTCCAGCTATTTGACAAAAGGATTTAATTGAATGATCCTATGGGGTCATTTCACAAATGAACTTTAGACCAAAAATGTGACTAAACTTTCAGACCAAAATTTTAGTCCAGTTCAACTCATGGCAAACCAATAGTCTGATCCATATTAAATGAAATATTGTGCCCATTTCATAAGGAAAGAAAGTAAGCAATGGCTAACATTCAATACCAACAGCCACTTTATCATAATGGACTTCTATAAATTTATCTAAAAATAAAATGGACAAAAATTCCATCTTAAAGGCAAATCCACATTTGCCATTTCAAGATCTACTGTGAAGCCCGCCCAAACAGCCTTACCTGCAATGGCTCCCTGTTGGTCCCTCTGCACACCCATCTCTCTCTCCTCACTCCTCCAAATGTCACAGAACAGGTGTGCCGCGGACATGTCATCTTTGCCTCTCCAGGCGTTGATGTGGGGGATGGCCTTGGGGTTCTCTGTCAGGTCCAGCAGGCAGCCCAGGATGAGGTTGTGCATGTTGGTGGGACACACCTCCAGAAGGTCAATGAGCAGGAACACGCCCTCTTTCTCCAGGAAGTAGTCCTCTGTCACGTAACAGCCCACAATGGCACACCTTTGTGACAGGGAAAGCAAGGTGTTATGATTATATCTTCAATTTTTGTGATTTTCTTTAAAAATGCTTTTAGAGGAAAAATAAATAAATAAATAAATAAATAAATAAATAAAATAGTTACAATTTTGAATTGATTTCTCTGACAGTGACATATTTGCTATTCCTATTTTTCGTAGTAAAAATACCTAATAGTGATGCACTGTTTTCAGCTATGGTACTGCTATTCTATTAGCTCTATGCTGCTGGAAGAATTGTTATATTATCCTCTAGTAACTCACCATATACAGTCCACTGTGGCCAGCACTAGCTTGTGATGACCCAGACCACTGGACAGCTTGACTGGATTGGTCTTCAGGTATTTACACACTATGTCCACTCCTTCATGGCTGAACAATTCCTGGAATATTATTTAGTTCATATATAACCCATGGACTCATTATTGCATACATTCAGTATTGTAACTACTAGCCAAATGCCAAATATAGCTTTGGAAAAATATTTTGGCTTAAAACCAGTGCACTCAGATTATTCATTTAAAAAGTTTTTCTTTTTTTATTTATTTGATATTACTGAAAATATTATCTTAATAACAACATATTTTCATTTTCATTACATCAAAAGCCTGTCATATAAAGCCCCCCAAAAATACAAATCACATCATTGCAGCATTACTGACTGAGTATGTACATGTATCCACAATACAGTAAAAACATAACTAGGCCACACTGAATTTCTCCAAATATATCTTTATATCTATAATTATATATACATATATATAAAGATAATCACCTTTCTATGCATGTCACCATCACACAGTGTTGACAATATATACAGCATGTCACACTGCATTTCTACATCTATGGCATCCTCTGTGCTGCTATCATTCTCTGTGTAACCTCGCAATATAGCTGAAATGATATGAGATTGCAAATCTGATAGTCTGTAATATGAACATAATTCTTTAATAGTCATTTTCTGCTATTGAGACTGAGCATACTACTGGATCACTTAAAAAGAAAGTTTTGAGCTTCTGAAAATATTATTGAGATGCTATGTCAATATAAAATGCTAGTTTTCCTCCCTGCCCTGATTCCAACATCCAACTGATAAAATATGCATCATTGAAAAAGAGCCGATTCAGAAGTGGAAGAAGTGTTACTCATAGCATAACATATAACCTGTAAAGATTTCCTGTATGTCGATTGGCTTCAAAGACGGAAATGCTGAGGGGTCAAAATATACATTACACGTATATAAATTGTAAACATAAGAAGGAACCAAGACTGTTTAATTCCAGCACTTACTGTTTATTTCACTGATGGCTCCTTGGTCCACCAGATCCTGTAACACCACCTCCCTGCCTGTCGACACAGCACTTCGCATGAGACGTAAACAGTGCCGCATCTGAGCACGCTTGTTGCCACGCCCACCGGCGCCATGGAATGCATTCCCATAGCCATTGAATTTACCTGAGTTTTGAATAAACAGACAAAGTCAAAGCAGATCTACACATTTTAAACACTTATTTGCAACTCCGTATGTTTGTCTCTTTCAAATTACAGTCCATCCTTAATGTTCTAATTCTTAATATGTATCGACCACGAGAAAGAGCTACCACCTACCCTTCCATCAGTTCTACACAATTTAAGCACTTGAATGTAGACAACTATTTTCCGTTCAAGTTATAGCCCATCTGTAACATTCCAATTCAGAAAACCCATATACCCTCATACAGTGCTGCCCCCTACCTTTTTCTCCTGTGCACCACTCCATGAGGAGCAGCAGTCGCGTGCTGCCCTGACACATCATGTAGTCCTCCACCATGAATGGCACCAGCGTGGCCAGAGACGCCATGGCACACAGCTGTAACTCCTCAAACTGTGCTGGGGTCCAGTCACGTGGCAGGGATGTGTTCTCATTGGGACGGACGTACGAGAAAAGGGCCAACAACAGACGACCTTCTGATAGGAGCTGAAGAAAAAGTTTGTGAAGTGTATTTAATGCTGTCAATATATATATTTACAATAATGATATAAAATTGATAATAATTATAATAATAGTAACTTCAGATAATTTAAGTCAATATTCTGACATGTCATTTTCCATTGGGTACCTATTATAATTTTTTTATCATTTTTCCTTGAGTTCATTTTTTGGCTATCATTTCTCTCAGCCAAATATCTTAATAATTCAGGAAAAAAATGGTGAAAAACAGCACAGTATATCTCCAGCATTACTTCAACAGTAAAATCACAATGTGTCAATCCCTTGGCTAAAATGTACATAGCATGCACCAGTGAGCCTAGTTTAACTAACAGTTACTGTTAAAAGTGATCATCAGCCCACAATACTTACAGGTACAACACATGGGTCTTTACTGAGCACAGTTAGGATATTGATAAGTAATTTCTTCAACTCAAAGTCCTCGTGACTCGTCATCAGCTTCAGGTGTCTGACCAAAGCACTGTGACTCTTTACTGAAATAAGAGAAAAGATGATATGAGGCAATAAAATACTGATTAAAATACTAATAATAATAATAATAATAATTAAAAAAAAAATAATTACTAATTCAACTTAAAGTAATTATTCTATAAATAAAAATTACATCATTGTTACTGCAAAAACTTCACTTTTACAACTGTCTCGAAAAATGTGTAGAAAAAAAAAAGGAAAAAACTCCCCAATGAAAAGAAATGAAAATCCATAATAATGTCCATGATAACATTTTGTACGCAAACTTTTAAATCCTGTTTGTCCTTCTGTTTACTTAGATATCATCCACCCACAATTACCTTCTTGAAAAGTTGCAAACAGTGTGAGCTGTCTGACGAATCCAGTCTCTACAAATGGCGCCTGTGGGCACACCTGCGCTATGAGACTGGCGATGATGAGAAGGTCATTCCGTAGCTGCCTGTCATAATGACTATAACCCTGGGTTAACTGCTGAATAAATGCATCTCGCAGTTGACTGAAAACACAAAAAAATATGTATGTAGTTTTAAATTCAAATTAAAATAACTTTTAATTATTCAATTTATAAAAGAAAAAATAAAAAAGGCAAAAGAGGAAAAATGCTGGTAAAATTTCAAAGTGTTATCAAGAAATAATCCATCTTTGTTCACTATTCAGACATAAATCAAATTAAAGCATGGCTAAGCCAAAATATTAATTTATTTATTTATTTCAGGAATTTAGTAATTTATTCATATACACCTTGTATATAAAATTTATACAGAAATCAACAGGTCTTCACAATGCTCACCTTATGCATGTCATATCATTTATCTGCTCTATAGCATTCTCCTTCTGTCCATACTCTAGTAAGTTCCAGAGCACATCCACTGAGCGGAACAGTAGCTCCCCACTGGGGTCAGGGTCCATGAGACGACAGCAGAGCCTGCTGGCCGCATCTGCACACAACATCTGGTCACAGTTCTTAGCTGAAATGACAACATCATTATTTTACAACACCATTACATTACATTGCAATATCATTATAAAGATGGAAAACAAGATTTAAAAAAATTGTATTAAAAAAAATTAAAAAAAAAAATAATTTAACATGAGTGATGAAGTGATAGTAATATCAAACTGCAAAATCATCTATTATTATTTATTATTTCAAAAAGTCACAAATTGGTGTGAAAAAAGAAAAAACACAATAAATGCCATGTTGGCTGTCCAAAGATTGTCCCAAAACTTCTCTAGTACCAATGAAATACTATTCCAGGTGCTATTTTTTCATTTATATGTGTATCACATATATTTAACATACTTATTATTAACAATGTGTAAAATGTTGTACATCTTTTGTGTTGCCAATCATGAACAAATTATTTTAAGATATTTTCTATGTACCTGATCTCTTTGAAAACTGCTGTAAGACCTTCAGGACCTCCAACCTCACATCTAGGTCATTTTCCAGGAGGGCAAGAGACTGGAAAAGATAACAATAATTTTTTAAATATCTGAACATCAACACAGCAAACAGTCATTGTTCATACAAAAAAGCATCTTCACTCCATTATGATCTGTGGTTTTATAAAACCACATTACAGGGAATTACGAAAGTTTTCTTTCTCTAACTGAGATAGTTTTGAAGTCACATTATCATTTTCTCTGCGCTTTGACAGATTAAACTTAATTAACTGTACCTGTACTAGAAATATATATAAGACACTTTACACAACAACTTACCTTGACCAAGGTTTCAGATAGATCACTACTTTCTACAATTCTCTGGTTATATGACAAGGAGTTGGCCTTGTGCTCTGGAAAAGAAAACAATCAATCAGAGATGCTACTGCCAAATGGTACTGAAGTCACACAATCAGTTAGATGACTTAGCTTGTTTTACATACACAATGATCTTATTTAAAATAATAATTATAGGTGTATCTACTGTAGGGTTAACACTAACATATGCATGTATATTTTTTTCGAAACAATGGAAAAATCATTTAGTCTAATAACAAAAATAAAAAGGAAAAATAAATTGAATTTCTCCCCCCCCCCCCAATTAATTTATTATTAAGTATTATCACCATTTGATTAATGACTATATATGACTTACTTTGTACAACTTGTGGTGGTGGCGTCTCACAGTAAAAACTGATCAATGCTGCACAGATCTTTTTTCTTATGTCATTGGATGGCACCCTCATTAGATAACCTGAAAGATGGACAAGATTATTGACCATTACAAGTGCAACAAAGTATATATATTATATATATTATATATATATATATATATATGAAGAGAGCCCGAAAAAAAGAGAAAAAAGGAAACTTAACAAAACTTAGCCTTGGAGATGTTTCACAGGTATTAATTTATTACTAATAAGGCAGGATAAAATGAGTCTCCTTACCTCATACAGTAACTTATACAGTAACTTAAGATATACAAATTTAAGTTTGCAATAGTGGTTTAGGTCCATTTCACAAGCATTTCTCCCACTGACAGACAGATTCTATAAGATATCCTGTGAAGCAAATTACAGTCTTACCTAACTGAGAGACAGACTCAATAGCAATCCGTTCATATGAGGTTTCATCTGAGGTTTTCTCCTTCAGGAAGGGCAGCCTGCATATATCCAGTATACTGCACATGGGTTCAGTGTACATGGGCTGCTCCTCCAGTCTGTCAGCACACACATTGAGGATCTTCACCACCAGGACCAGGTCCTTCATTAACTGAACACACTGGTTAAGGATAATACTATACACTTAAGACTTTGATACTATATCCAGTTAATTATGAACTTGGGATAGAAATCAAGTTTTGAAAAATGAACACTGTCAGGTAAAATTTGGTATGAAGTGTATACATCCAGAAGACGGTCAGATTTTCAAGTTTACATTATTTATGTATATAATTTATTTGTCGGAAGACGGTTTAAAGTGTGGAGGATGGATCAACAGAGACTGTTTGGAAGCCTGTCAGAAAATATCTCTGGATTCGCACCTCATTCTAATGTTAAATATGTTATCCAAATGTATTTTTACCAATTCAAAAATGAAGATTATCTGCTAGTAGATATTTAAAAACATTCTGTACTTCTGCGAGCAAGTCAGTGTACCTGTGTATCTTACACCTCTTTGCCATAAGTAAATATCATGTATATACATGTAAGAACCTTAAACATCACAGAAGGAAAAAAATCATTTGAGAGCAGAATAGTGTACTAGTATGGGACAAGACAACCTAATTTAGTTTTGTGGCAGAGACGGTTTCCATAAATGATAATCGAAAGGATACAAATCCCTGCTTGTAATGCTTGGGCAACTTTCTTAAAGCATGAATGTGTCTGTCATATAACATGGACTGAAAGGAAACATCGTCAATAATGTTAACCAAGCACATGGTCAAGTATAAAAATCACTACACATGCACACAATTACAAATAACAGAAAAATTGCTGTTGCACTAAAGAATGTGAAGAAGATGGTTTATTGCATAAATTAAAAAGGCATAATTACAAGTACTCAGTATGTACTTTGTGCATTAAATAAATATGAGCTTGCTAGATAGTACATGAAAATGTATATTATTAACACCTTGTAATGTATCTTTATCTGTTCTTTTCATATAAAACACTTTGCTTACCGAGTGCGGGTCTGTCATGAGTTTTGCCACTCTAGTTAGGTTCATGGGCTGAAGTTTGGCCCCCTGTGAGTAAAAATAACATGTACAGACGTAATTATTTGAGGTTAAAGGGATAATAACTCTTCGTATGAGATCTATATTTCACAATAAAAACATTGTGAACAACTCATAAAAATATAATATATTCTGTTTTACTACAAAAAAGGCAGTTATAGCTGTTATTCTGATATCTGAGCTTGTCTTCAGACCACATGACCTCCACTGATGACTATACTCTGTTATAATCTCTTAAGAGATTTTAACAAAAAACCAAACTTTTTAGAAAAAAAAACAGGGACTAAATTTGAGTGTAAAAATGGATTCATTAACCATTGGTAAGTATGGGAAAATTGTTGTTTACTCCAGGAAAAATCCATTTTTTGGCCAAAACGAAGTTTTATTATCCCTTTAAGTTTTAAAAGACAGAAAGTGAGCATATATACACCAGTGTGACCAGTAAACTGCACTTCATAATTATGCAACCATTTATATGGCTCTCATGGCCTAACATACAAGGAAAATACGTCTCGGACTTCATTTTTGGTTTGAGCTAAAAGCGTTTCAACTACCCAGTACCATGGCAATATTGCACATATATGTAATTTTAGTTCTGCCACATTTAATGAACTGAGTTGCACTTTTACAAACCTGCAAAATACCCAGGTCATCGTCCGTAATAGTGTGAGATACAATCGGAATCCTTGGTTTGCTGGTGGTTAAAGTCTGAGTTGGATTCTGACTAGAAACCCGAGGAGCGAATTGAGTTTCCGTTGCCATATTTCAGTCTGGTTAATTTCCTCAATAAAATGATTAAAATAACTATACTTCTATGCCTAGGAAATAGCACTCTTCATATGTTCTTCTAAACTGTAATATATCCAAGAAAAAAATTAACTGCCCGGAAAAATGCAAAATCCATCATAATTTTTGCACTGAATGTGTAAATACTCCGCCATGTTGGATATGTTGCTAGGGGAGGCGCAATGCATTGTGGGGTTTAAATGTTTTTATACTCGTGAAGATTTTATCAAAAGTGATCTACCAATCAGAGATTTTGAGTCATATAGTGCGGTAGATTAAGAAAAATCAATAAACTGTAAAAATTTGCTTATTTTAGATTCAGTTAAGCTCCGTATATACATGTCACATGATGGTCATGTGACAGAAGCACCTTACGAAAGCATAGCCTCATCATGTGACATGATACGAAATAAAAGGACCGAGGGCTCATATTATCAGTGTATTCGTCATTGTAGCATAGGCTGTTGTGTCACCATGATGTCCTACGTGTTCTTGATTGTGTCAGTCATCGTCCTACTGATCGCCAGTTCAATCAGTGGACCTCTTCACGCTTCTTGTAAAGCGACATGGTTGGTATCAAACTTAAGATGACTTACTATAGTATGTTGTAAAGCTTCTCACTCTTGTCTAAGTAATGCTATGAATTTAAATCTACATTAATTTAATTCATGAATTATTTTTAAAACTAGCCTACTCCACTATTAGATTACACAGTAAATAATCTGCAAACTGATGTATCCTGTAAAAAAGTTTCTATTAGCAGAGCTGAATAAAAGACAAAGCTTTTCCTTTTTTTGCCCAGAATTTATTCCAAAAACCTGTCATATGATCTTTATTTTCTTTATGAATTGATGTTTGTTTTATTTTTCCAACAGGACATTTGGTGAAGGCTGTGCAGATGTCAATAAAGCTCTTGTGGATCAGATCAACAAATGGAAAGGGCCTGATGGTTGTAAGAATGGAGGAGAGAAATGTTTGTATGCAGTGAGTATATTCACTCCTTTACATACATCTGGTACATACCTGTGTGCACACACACACACACACACACACAGCATGCACACACACACACAAACAAACACAGTTTAGCCTTCACATTCAAACATACACACAAGCCCTCGCACTCATTCACACACACACACACACACACACACACACACACACACACATGCACACACGCATACAAATGTACACAAGCAAACTTGCATCTGTGTGACATGCTTATACTTCAAAAATTTATCAACCATTGATAATTTCTGTATTTGGTCAGATTCACTTTTAAGTTAAAACAGCACTGTTTATTCTTTTTTTCTCTCTGTTTTTAAAATGAATATTATGTAAGTACATACATATAAATGGGAGTGATTAAAGATAAAACATTTTGTCATTGTACTTATAGTTTTAATTTGCAAATGTTTAAGCTCAAGAGCAGCTCAGCCACAGAAATCAAAGCCACCCATGAAACCCCAAAGAAGCACTATGTAGATGACGTCTCCTTTGAATTTTCTGGCAGTGGAAGCTCTTGCACAGTGAAGGTAGGAGTGTGTATGTAATATGAAAAATCTGTGGATTGTCTACTGGTACCAGTGCTGTAGTTAATAATCAGTGTTTAGGATTGATGTTGTAATGAATTATAAGTAATCTTTTTAATTGCGATTTTCCCTAATTTTAAAGGTTCTATAAGTCCCCAGAATTTGATATGCATGAAACATAGTATTAATGATAGAAACAATAAATTCATTGATAATTTTTATGATAGGCATGGATACTGTCAATGTACAAAGACTTGACTCATTATGATTGATTCCTGCTTGTTACAGGGACTTGAGTCGCGTTTACATAAGAGAGAGCCTTGACCCTTTTATATCATATAGTGGTTTCCTGGGATTCATTGTAACTTCTGCAAATGGATTCTGTCTTTTCTTATCCAAACCTTAATACTAGCTAGAAATGAAGGGTTACATTTGCTGCCTTTTACAAACTTTACTCAATCATATGGTGAGAAGAACCAAGAAGTGTCAACCTATCATCGGTGCAAATACACGCTTTGAGAGGTTAAGCTTATCTTGAGATGGCTATCACAATAGGTGGATTATTGATGACCTTTGATAACTGTTGAATAGATAATAAATCTGAAATGTGGCAATAATCTGGCAATGTGACTGGTCACCTAACCTTTGATCACAGCAGTAATTGGTTATAAAATAGGTTCAATTAGAGAGCATTCACATCGAGAAGAGCCGAGGTCTAGCAAGACTTACATGAAAGGAAGACCGCTTAATCCTTAAATGGTGTCTCAATGACAGTCATTGACATCCAGTGTTGGTACCAAGGTTAAGTCAGTAGACTGAAAGTTTGTCCAACTTTCAGAATTATTACACTGGGTAAATGAGTGGGGAATGATAAAATTAATACTTTCCACATATGCAGTGCACCCTGATTATAGCAGAATTAAATATATTTAATAAATACTTCTTCTCTTTCCAGGGTTATTCAACCTCAGAGACCTGGTACGCAGTGCTGGACTATGGAACCAACTACTGTAATATGTTTAACCTGATCCAGGGCGCGGGACTGGACAAAGTGTCCGGATACAAGGAAGAAACCAGTGACAGCATCTGCACTCAGAGGTCCTCAGCTAATTGTGAAATATATTAGTCCCGTTGTTGAATATGATCTTGTTGATATCAGTTCCTAGTGATTTGGAAATATTGAAATGGGACGTAGCCAATGGATCCACTTAGTGTTTGGTTGTGGGCAGATAAATGCATTCTAGCAGACATTTTTTACGATTGATTGTAAAATCATCATTCATGGTCTATGCTTTATCACAGCTGAAATAATTATATATACATGTAAAATTTTCTCTGTTTTGTTGGGTCAGTAGTCCTTTACAGTTTAGTATTTGGGAGAGTTCAGGGCCAGAAGGGAGGGTAAATCTTTGGATTTGAAATGAGTCCAACATTTGGCTGCTTAATATTCTTAGAAGCTCTGGCTTTGTAATTTTAGAAAAAAAATACATTAGTGTAATTGTGAAAATCATTCCTTGGTGAGTTGTCATTCTTTGCAGAAATGTTTAGTATGGTCATTTTGAGATACTGTGCTACCTTTTTTGAAAGAAATTTAATGTAAAATTTGCAACATATTTAAGGGAGTTCTGTACAACACCAAGTATTAACTTGTTTCTACAAAGGCTCTGTGATACAAGATATTAACTTGAAAGTTAAGTCATTGTAGTGAACCAAAAAGTTATCATAATTTTGTTGAATATGATAATTTTTCACATCTTAAATAAATCATGCCAAATTTATTTGATATTTAATTGCAATAATTGGAATGCAAAAGATTTGCATGCACTGTTCATGGCATATGTACATCTTTATTTGCCAGCTGATAGGAAAGTTGGGAGATTTGTGCTCACCGAGTATCATCATGTAAATTGATGCTTCATATGTGCAAATAAAATATCCAGGATTTTAAAATACATTTTTCTCTGTGAATAATTTTAAAAGAATAAGTATATAAAGTTCACCAGTTATCAGCAATTGATGGAATAAGCAGATCATATCTTGTGCACTAAAATCTTCCAGCACAGCTGAACTTTACAAGTTTACACCTTACAAGTGATGGACTTTTAGATTATTGTGTTAGGTGTGACGATAGAATTGTACCATCTCAAAATTGTGCAAAATTTTCCAGGATGTATCGTTTCTTTTGAAGCACTGATGTTGAATCCAAACACTTTGCACAGGTCAGTGATTAATTTCAAGCACTGTTCAAAAAATTTCATTTTTATGGAAACAAGGCAGCAAAGCTGTCAAATGTACAGACAAAAAGCAGACAATAACAATGCACAAAACAGGCTACTGACAATTATGATGCAAAAGTACATTATGCTTAACTGCAAATTCACCATCAAATTTTAATTATGCTCAACAGGTAATACCAATGTAAGTGAAATGTGTAACAAGCGTAAGGCTTCAGGCCCATGGGAGTTTAAGTTCACACTTTGAAAATGCCAGAATGAGAAAAATGAAAATTTCACATAAAACTGCTTAAATTCAATAATAAATGATAACCCATTTGAGCTGGCTTTCTTATTTGAACTGCATGCCAATCCTACAAATCATACTTGTAAGTTGAAAATTATAATAAGTAACAGTTTTCTTTTCATAATGTTTGTAGTAGCAGTGCAAAAAGATTTTTGTCAATTTTGATGTAACATTACATAATAAATTACAGAATAATTATCACCAATTTTTGATTATTGACTATAAATAGCATGGACATGTAAAAAATTTGATTACCATTTGGCTTCATGTCCATGGGAGCTTTGAGTCCCACAATGAATATGCCAACATGATAAAAATGAATATTTCACTAAAATGTATAACTTCCAGAAAAAGAAGCCAATTAGACTGCTTTTCCAACTCAGGCTGCATTTTAGTCCTTTGTTTCTTTTTTGAAAGTTTGACAATCATAAGTAACATGGTTTTCCCATAATGGTCATCATGGCAGCAGCACCCAAAATTGTGTTTTCTTCTATTTTAATGCAATATTACATAATGCTTAACAGCATAATGACCATCAGTTTTTAATAATAAAAGATCCGTATCGTGGATTTTCAGAAAATGTGACTAGCATGGGTCTTCAAGCCCGTGGAGGTTCTAAGTCACACCTTGAAAATGCCAATATGTGAAAAATTAAATTTTCACAAAAAACTGATTAACTGCCAAAAAAATTTACCAAATAGTCTGCATTGCCCACTGAAGCTTTATTTAAGTCCCATGTTCCTTCCTGTAAGTTTGAGAACAGTAAGTGACATGGTTTTCCTTAAATGGTCATCATGGGAGCAGTGTCCAAAATAGGGGTGTCTTCAAATTTTGATGCACTATTACATAATGTTTAACAGGATAATTACCATCAATTTTTAATAATAAAATATTAGTATCATGGATATTCAGAAAATGTTCCTAGCAAAGGTCTTCAGGCCAAAGGAACTTCAAAGTCACACCTTGAAAATGCCAAAATGTAGACAAGACAGCACTGTCCTGAAATGTGTTTTTTTCCATTTTTAACAATTTTTTAACATATAACAAAATTAACAATTTACTGCCATTTATATATGATCAACTAAGAAAATTGATGAGATGGGAAAAATATCAATAGAACAGTGTTTAATGTCCAATTTCCTCCATTCTGAGTTTCTGAACATAGTGAATGAATGAATCTGACAAACTGCAATGATATGAGTTTATTTCCATTTTTGAAACTCTATTATACAATACATGATAACAAGTTTACCATCATTTTTACATAATCAACTAACAATGTTGTAAAGATGCAGGAAATGTCAAACAAACACTTTTACGAATCTTATTAGTTAAATAATGAGACTGTTAACATGCCTAAGAATTGAATCTGAGGAAATGTGAAAAAACAGCATAACGTATAAAATAATGGCCTGATTATGCTGATTTTCGAAATTGACCTGCGTTTTAGTAAGATTAATTACTAGTGTGAGTTTCATGACAACAGGTCTATCTGTTTTCCTTGAAATGTGTTAACAGTGTTGCACATATGCTGAAAAGTGAAAAAAAAACAGCATAACTACTAAAATAGAGGCCCGATCATGCCGATTTTCGAACATGATCTGCGTTTTAGTAAGATTGATTACTCCTGTGAGTTTCATGACAACAGGCCTATCGGTTTTCCTTGAAATGTGTTAACAGTGTTGCATATATGCTAAAAAGTGAAAAAACAGCATAAATTCTACAATAATGGCCCGATCATGCTGATTTTTGAACTTGACCTGCGTTTTATGAATATTAGTCAGCTCTGTAAATATAAAGCCAAAAAGTAAAACTGTCTTCCACTTATGGTGTTAACGCTGAAAGTGCACGGCGACGGCAACATGATCGGCGACGGCGACGACAGACGCAGGTGATGGCAATATGTACAGACACATCTGTATCTGTACATAAAAATAAGGCAGAGGAAACAAGGGTGAGTGTTTGTTGAAGCCATCTTGGAAATATCCAAAACAATTAAAATTTCCGTTTATGAAGGAAAACAGAAGTACAGCACAATATATACCATATTTCCCTTTATTTACCATAATTACAAATGAATACATCATATTATTTACACTTTGCAAGACGTGTTTCCATTTTCTAAAATATAATATAAACGTGTACTAAAATAACCAGGTTAAGCTGGTTGCTTCGATGGTTTTGGCTTTAAATTTCTCTTCAATGATTAATAAATGCAACTGCATGACAGTTTCACCAAAATGTTTCATACATATTTATCCAAATCAGGTTACAGTCACCCCGAGTTTCAGATTACTGAAAACTGGCCCATATTATGTGCCATTTTAATTAAATGTTATTTTCTAGTAAACTCTGAAACTCAGGGTGGGTAATATGAGGTAATATAAAATAGCACAATTTTTTTATTTAACAGACAAATTTCTCATCATCGTAGCATGGTGATTTTACCAAGATGTTGCTCTCATCTGATTTAATTATATCTCAGGGATACAAAACACAGAATACTGACAATCAATGTAAAGCTTCTTTTCTTCTTCAGTTTTCTTTTCAAAGGTCAAAAATATTCAAAAATCTGTCTATTAAAGAAAGTTTCTTAACATTTCCATCTTTCAGTTAATATAAAACCTAGTATCAAAACAGATTTCAGCACGGTTGGCTTGACATTGTACTCAATTGTGGTAAGTATTAGGCCATCATATGCCCCTAAATGGCACCAGTGCAGACACAATTCAATACTGTATCAGTTCTACTTCTTATCTTTATCATAAATATATATAATAGCATATTATTATTTACACATAATCACCAGTGCATACATCATTTATGTTGAATCACAGTATTTTTCAATTATATTTTGAGGGCCTGTTTAAAATACAAATTATAATTATCATAATAATAATTTTGAGCCTGGCAAAAGACCCCAAAAAGTGTCAGTCTTCTCACTATACACATTTTTTCCCGGTGAGAAACCACAATTCTTCTGTTTTAAATTAAATCCTTGTGCTTACAGGAAACGACAGGGAAACGGATTTCCTGCTTACACACAATGTCAAAACCATAACCAAATAGTTGAAAATAAATAATCAAGTATTCTACAATTTCATTACCAAAGTCATTTGCCTGTCTCTTTTTTCAACTGACAACAGTGATTGGGCTAAGAATCAGGAGAGAGTCAAAAAACGGGAAGGGGGAGGGGGGGGGGGGGGGGGGGAAAGAAAGGGGGAAGAAA